GGGGGGGGTAACCCTATTAAAATAAGTGTGACGCAGCGAGAGAATTTGATCGACCCGTTGTGTTTATTACAAGAAGGACCATCTCTCTCTGTCTGTCTCTCTGTCTCTGTCTCTCTCGCTCTCTCCTCTCTCTCTCACACGCGCGCGCGTACAACATACGTTGTATATACCCCACGGGCAGAGACAAGAAGACGACACGTAACAGGCACACAGCCCTAATTGCCTTTCTCTGCCTTTCACCCCTACGAGTGCGCCGTGTGTGGCCTGTGTGTGGCCTCTGTAATTTTATGTATGCAAACTGACACAGTTACAACGAGTGTGTGCGACTTGCTCCCACACAGCAACAAATATTTTTTTTTTCAAAACAAAGGAAGGAAACTTTTGCGTAAAATGGGATTTGTGTATTGAGTATGTAACGCTCTGTTTCTTTTCTCGGTTTCTTGTCAATTTACTGAAAACTCCTTGCTTGTTTTGTCCTTGCGCATAATTTTTATTTTTGGGGTAGTTTTAATGCCTCAGGAGGTGCCTTTTAATGACTCTGCAAAGGTATTAATATTAGTCCTACTCATGTGTTTCCAGTGTTCATAACACAAAATAAAGCTCCTAAGAAAATTATTACCCACGAACAGAGTTTGGGGTTCTTACCTAAACTATGTACCTACCTGGCTGTTAAAGCCCTTTCTCGCTCAATAATTAGAGCACCAGTAAACACCGTACAACACTCGTCGGTTTTCAGTGTAGCAAAACCGAACCCTCTGTAGGCCGCGGCCGCCCCCCAGGCCCGCCCTGAGCCGTCTCCCACCTGATTAACCCGCCACGCCCCTCGCCACGCCCCGCCACGCCCCGCCACGCCCCGCCACGCCCCGGATCAGGTCGCCCATGGAATGACGGAGCCGTAGCTGCGGAAGCGCTGAGGCGGCGGCGGCGACTGCTCTGCAAGTCAATGAGCGGCACGACTTTAACTCAGCGGTTAGCGCGGGGATCCGCCGGCCGCGCGAACCTCGCGATTTAAAGGTTTCATTTCGTGGCGGCGTGTCGCCGAGGCGCGAGTGTTGCCAGAAAAGTATGCGAAATAATGTAACTGTAGGCAGGCATAGGCGCAGATGCGCAGCGCGCAGCCCACTCTTCGCTACGATGCCGCGCTCCCCCGCATTTTACATACGTTTTCTGGCAGCGTAAACGTTACGCGGAGTGAAGGCAAGACAAGAGGCCTCCTGGCTCCGCGGGGATGAGCCCAGGCGACAGGCCCAGGCGACAAGCCCGCCATGCGAACGTGCGAATCCCGTCCCGAGGCCGGTGGGCCGGGCCGGGGTGGTCGGAGTTTGGGGCCGAAATCCCCCCATCGGCCGCGCCAAAGCTGCCGTGCGGACTCACTTAGGGAATGAGGTCTGCTGCTCTGCGGCACAACTTTACATGATACAGGCTGTACGGCGAGGTAGGGCGTTCCGTGGCGGGGCGCGCCGCGACCACTTGGGCGGATACAGCCGGGCGGGTCCATGGGGGTCATGGGGTCCTGCTAACCCCCCGGACAAAGGGAGCAGAGCGACCGGCCAGCGACCCGGCGTCGGCAGCGGCCTGGCGCGGCTCAAAACACCACGTACTCATTGCGCCCCCCACTCGGCCGCTTTTCGACAACTAGAGCGCGAGAAAACATTATGTTAGGCCTTTCACCACCAGACTCTGCTGTGCGTGCTTTCCAAACGATTTCACATAGACACAGTTTCCTCACAGAACTAGTTCGCTCGACTATACCCAATCGAAAGCCACAGCAAAGCCACGTTATTAATTGTGTTTCTATTAGCAAGAGTTGTGGTTTAAACGCAGTTCCGTTATATGTTTCCTTGTTTTCCGCGCTGTCGGGTCCGCTGCAAAGCCACCCATACACTGTTAACGTCTTACGGCAAATCTCACCGTAAGCTAAAGCAAACACTGCAGCCACTGCGAAAAATGCCCCCGTAAACATATTTTTGTGATTTTTATATGCAATATATAGACGGCATATGTTTTTTTTTTCTTCTTTTTTGCTAGTCGATCAACTCCAAGTTGGTGCAAAATGCATTAAAATTTGCAATTTTAAATTTAAATTTTACAATACGCACATCATGAAAAATTGTCCCGTAAACCTTCGACTACTTTTCACAGTGGATTGCAGCACCATAAGCTTACGGTTAATTTTCAAAATAAGCTACGGTCAATCAGGGTGCATCACTGTAACTTACAGTGAAAATTTACCGCAAACTGCAGTGCTTGCTGCAGGGTGCAGGGCTCACTGTATAGCTGACGACGAAATTCACCAATTCACCGCAAGGCTTCCATGACTGAACGTACGCACCCCACTCAATGCAGTGTACCACAGTCAAGCGGAGCACCGCTCTCCAAATGAGGAGGCATTCAGTGTGGTCGGTGCGGCGTGGCGGCGGGTGGCGGCGCGTGGCGCAGTCCGGGCCGAGCCGGGGGTAGTTGGGAGTTGGTCCGGAAGGGGGAGGGGGGGAGGGGGGGACGTTGCGGGACTACCTCGCTTCATTCGGAAGTTGCCCTCCCCGCCGCCCCTCCTAACCTTCTAACGCTATAACTGACCCGACCAGATGGTCGTGGACGGAAGACAAAGTTGTCCGTTTGGTGGGCGGAGCAAACTTCATAAGTAGCCCTTTTACTTTTCGCGCGCTTTAAATCGACAAATAGAACAACACACAACATATTTAGAGATTAGAAAGCTGGAACGAAAAACAGAAGAAGTTGCGGAAAAAATGGAAATTAACGAAAATTTTGTTTTAAAAAAAAGACCTCTGTTTGTTATTTTCAAATTTCCCGGAATTTTTTCGGAAAATTTTAACTTTTTCGGAAAATTAAAATCCCTAAACACTTTGCGGCTTGACTCACCAGCCTAGGATGGGCGGGCAAGTGATGGCGGCCGCCACCACCCACACGGCCAGGATCATGGCGAGCGCGAGGCGCTTGGAGCGCCGCCGGCGCGAGTAGTTGAGCGGCTGCGTGACGGCCAGGTAGCGGTCAACCGAGATGGCGCACAGCGAGAGGATGGAGGCGGTGCACAGCAGCACGTCCAGCGACACCCACAGGTCGCACAGCACCCAGCCCAGCTCCCACGTGCCTGCGAAACAGCGAGAAAGACACAGCACTGTGAAAAATATCCGTGTAAATTTTCAACGTATATTGTAATAAAAGTTGTAAATTTATATGACAGCCCAACATTGTTTGCCAATGGATTTCAAGGCGATGCGTAGTGCTTGAAGCTTTGCAATTTTGAATTGTGATCTTACGACACGCTTTAAGGAAACTTAACTCGTAAAACCGATAACTCTTTTTTCACTGTGAGAGACAAGCGGGTCAGAGACGCAGAAGACACGGAGAGCAGGGAAAATATTGCCCATGCCAAAGTTGCCATCAATCAATAAGAATTTTTTCTCCTCCTTTCTTCTCTCTTTTAAAGGGGAAATGTGACGCGCGCGGGGGGAAACCGGAAGGGGAGAGGCTGGTGAAAAAGGGAAGCACATCGGACAAGCTGTAGAAATATCACAGAATCCTCCGTAATGGGTGCTGCGGTCGTCCTAAGGGAGCCCAGCGGGAGAGATGGCGGGGGGCTACAGGAGGGAGGACGACCAATGAGGACCGCGGGAAATGGAGAAAGTTAAATTAAAAAATGCGGCGAGGGACTTGCGGATCGAAACGTTCGGTGCGCCGCCTCTGATCGAGGGGGCGACAGGCGACACGCTCGGCGGTGCAACGCAAAGCAGGCCGCCAGTTCATACCCACCGTCGGCAGAGAGAGAGAGAGAGAGAGAGAGAGAGAGAGAGAGAGAGAGAGAGATCGGTCGCGATATCGGCACGGCCAAAACTGAAAAGGGGGACGTCACCGTGGTGTTTTCAATATCACTTCTTTTCGTCAAAAACCGTGAACGTCCTACTTCAATAATTCACGCCGCATGTAGTTACAGATAAAGAAATATGGATAAAAGCCAATTCCCCCCGCCCCCCCCCACAAGAAAAAATAATAATTAGAAAACAGTTTAACTGTGAATTAGGAGGTCAGGTTGAAATATTACTTCGCTCTTCGGAAGAACTAGGCGTTTTACATTGTTGCCTAATTACAACACGCACCCGCTGCCTTTTGGGCTCACGCACATGACTTTTGCCAGTATAGGCCGCCCGGGCGGGGCGGGGGCACAGCGGATTAGGGAAGCAGAGGCGCTTAACTTGTCACGTGGCACAATAGTTTGTTTGTCTCGCACCACCAGCGCCCAGCTCATCCGCTTGTGGCGGGATGGGGCGGTGCGCGAGAGGCACGGCGGGGAGGGGCGGTGTGCTGGGGACAGGGCGGGCCTGGACCACGTTCGCTACGTATCGACCATCACGTCACCATCACGCCGCCAGCAGGCCAGGTTAACCTCAGCCCTCAGCGCGCCTTAGCGCCTGCCGTCAGCGAGGTAGGCTCGCCCGCCGCGCACGCCAAAGTAGCGGGTCTGCCTACCAGGCGGGCGGCCTCCGCTGACAGCCGAGCGGGCCCGCCACAGAGAGAGACACTCTCAAAAATGTCTGCGTGAAATTACATCAAGTCTTTTTTACTACGATATATATAACAGGATATGTTGTAAATTTACGAAAGCCCCATTTAGTCAAAACACACTCTTAAAAACTTTTTTAGGTTCCCAGATTACAAAGTTTTCGTAACATACGATGTTAACATTTCTTCGTAACGACGTTATTTGTTTCCTACCGTGCTTGTAATTTTACATTTAGATGCAATTTTACAAGACAACACGTCATAATTTTTTTTTCTGTAGCTCAAGAACTTTTTACAGCGGAGAGAGAGGGGGGATGGGGGAGAAACAGACAGACGCAGGCCCCATGCTCCAAATTACGCCTAGCCTTCAAGCTCGCATCCCATATTGAGCGCCTACTCCGCCTCAGACCAGATAAGAAGGGAGGGCCACACCACGATGTTTTGTGTTTCTCTTGGCTGGCTACAAGGACGCGGGGGCAGCAGCTGTTGCAGCAGCGGGCCAGGTGCGGCGGATGAGTCGAGGTGAGCCTAACAGGCGGCCGTAATGCTCTGGGCCTACTCTTCCTCTCCTGCCTTTCGCCTCTCGCACGCTCGCTCCCTTATTTCTATTTTTTTCCGTTTTCTCGGAGTGCATATTCTACAAACAGAAAGTGAACTGTGACACTAAGAACAATTAAAAGAGCGATAATGTAACAACACAAAAGAGTGTGTGAAAGTGAGAGCCATGCCATTCATGGGACTTCATTGTAGATAAAATTAAACAGTTGCCCTACACAAGCACTGAGAAAAAAGAAAACCTGTCTGTGCACTAGACGTTTAGTGTCCAGATCAAAGCTGTTTCGTTGCACTATACGTCTAGCGCTAGAAGCTAAACGTATAGCATCCCGCAAAAGAAAATCTACAGCACTGCATGAATAAAGCTCACTGGAAGGGCCCTATCCCATTTCGAGCTGGGACAAAAGTCGGGAGCATTAGACGAAACGTTTAGTGCCCACAGAAAGAAATATTTTTCTCAGTTTGAGAGTGTGTTTCATGGCTTTACAGTGTGAGGGTCACGAGTTGCGAAAGCTAACACCACTATACACACCCTCACATGTGTCAGCGCGAGTCGGTCACAAATCCATTCAAGCGCAGCGCGTGCGAGCATTGCGCGCACTCTACTCCCGCCCCCAGTCTCTCTCTCTCTCTCTCTCTCTCTCTCTCTCTCTCTCTCTCTCTCTCTCTCTGCCACATACACACAGACACACTCGTACACGACATATCGGCACAGCACGAAATTGCCTTCCACTCTTCCTCTTCCCTTCCCTTCCCCTCCGCCCCCCCCCTTTTCCGCCGGTCCCTTTTCATCTCGGCACTGCAGGGTGCTCTTCTGGGTACATCACGCTGTCTATCTGTCCGCCTGCCCGCCTGGTAGCCGCCACTGGCCTCCATACAGTCACGAGTTTTCAATTAACTTGTGTAATCAGCGGCCCATATACCCCATCCGGATAACCGCGTCGCGTCGCCCACGGCACGCGGTATAACATTATCCCTCCCCACTTTCTTCCGGTTCCTCGCCTTTCATTTGCGACCATTTGGAGGCCGGCGGGAGGCGCAAACGACTCTCGGCAGCCGGCGCGTGGCGGCGCCACGTGGTCGCCACGACGTGGCGCAGGGCCAGCCGTGCCGTAGGCTGCCGGCCTTCGGCGGGCCTTCACAGGCTGCTCAATGGATTTCCGCCTCATGGAAAGCGCGCTTCCGGTTCGGGTGTAAGCGTGGACGGGCCGGGCTGGGGCGGGGTAGGGCGGGGTAGGGCGCGGTAGGGCGGGGTAGGGCGGGGTAGGGCGGGGCGGGGCGGGGTGGGGCAGGGTGGAGCGGGGCAGGCAGCACCGGCCCGCATCCGACCGGACGGCGATCAGGGACGCGCGGCCCTCGGCGGCCCTCAGGCATCGGGGGGCGCGGCACCACAGCAAGACCTTGGCGCCGCTCGAGTGGCCCCGCGGGGGCGGCTGCAGCAGCCCTTGCAGCTGCGACACATAGGCTGCCGCACTCTGCGACCTCTCGTGCTGCCCACCCTAAAGTGAAGGACCTTTCCTCGGACGGACGCCCAGTTCGACGCGGCTAAAACAATTTGATCCGAATCAGCCAGAGCCCCGGGGCCTCCAAAACTTTGATTTATGTCCCACCCCCGCCCACCCCTGCCCGCCCCCGCTCGTGCCTAAAGCCCCGGGGCGGCGGCCTGTCGTTGCCACTACTTGTCTTGTCCCAACCAACTTGTTCTGATTTATGGTCCACTAGCAGGGCATGCACAGCGGAGGCGCTCGACAAACGCCTTTGTCTCGGTATTGATCCCCAACGCCGCCGCCATATGGGACGGGTGGGAGCCAGGCGTTGGAAATAATCACGATGTGTTGTAACGACAACACATACACACACGCACACGCGCTCGCAGACACACACAAACACGCACACACACACAAACACGCACACACACTCACGAATGAATTCCAATTCATGGCACCCGGGAACACGAATGAGTCTCAGTCGGCACAGCAGTCTGTTCTCTCTTTCTCTATCTCTGTCTCTCTCCCTCCCTCATATTTTTCGGTTCTATCCCACTTCGCTTCGTTATTGCCTCGATATAACTCGGCGGCTGCTCAGCTGTTGTAATATGCAGCAGCAGGGTGGAGGGTGGTGGGAGGGTGTTTGCCTTACGACAACATGTCATTCGGCCGGATGAGTCGGGGCCAGGTGAGGTGAGGTGAGGTCATGGTCGAGGAGGAGGGGTACCGCAGGGGTGGGGTAGGCCGTACCGAGCCGTGCCTGGCGGCTCCGAGTGGCCAGGCTGGGCCATTCCTCAAGCCACATCAGGAGCGCCCCTATCCCGCCCGCGGTAGGCCTCGGCGTGGGCGTGAGACCCTAACCTGCCCTTTCTCCCTCTACTGTCTTTCTTTGCCGCATGTACGCGGGCGAGAGCAGCCATTCAGCCGTGAGAACTCCAGCGGCAGCACCCTCAGCCACTTACTTTACCTTGGCCGCTGCGTGAGGCAACTGGAGGTTTATATGTTATTGATAAAAACTAAACGATGCCATTTATCTGTCGTTATTTTTTTTAGAAAGCCAGGTGGCCAAGTGGGAACATTAAAATTCACTGTTGATCTCACGGGCACTTATATAAATCACCGGGATGGCAATGATTAGACCGAACGTCCGGAGGGCTTGAACTCTGCGAGCTTGTCAGCACGCCCATGGTCCACTCGGTCGAGGCGCTCGGCACAAATGTTGGCAGAGTACTGTACTCTGTACTCTGCATTGTCAGGTGTGATAAAGCCAGAGAAGCGTGCGGAGGAGATCCATCATCATGGCAAGCAGGCCTGCCGACGTGCGGTGGAATAAATTGGGTCACACGCCGCACAGAGGCTGAAAAGAGCATGAGCCTCCCTCATATTGCTACTTTATTTCCTGTCTTCCTTCTTCATTTGATTTTTTGACGCCGTTTCTTTTTTTTCCTTCCTCTTTTTTTTGTGCGCAGTGCTGGCACACCCTCCTTATCCCTCCGACGCACTCAGTCACAGTTAATGGTATGTAAGGTCGGCCCCACGCTCCATTACG